CTCTCTCTCCTCTCTCTCTCTCCTCTCTCTCTCTCTCTCTCTCTCTCTCTCCATACCAATCTATCTAGTTATCTATATATTAATCTACCTATTTATCTATATATTTCTACCTATCTATTTATCTATATATTAATCTACCTATCTATCTATATTTTTCTACCTATCTCTTTTGTACAGTTGAGGCCACCCTGCTAAAGTCATCAGAATATGGCAATGTGGTCATAAAAAAAAATCGGGAATCATTCCCAATTTCGATGGCCTGAAATGTCAACTAGACCATTTCCAAACTTGGTTCCAATTTAACGCCGCATCAAGCAATCAGGGAATTCCCCGAATTAACGGGAAAGAGGGAGTTAAAAGCTGTCATCTAATTGGCCAACAGCTGATCCACTTTAAGTGGTTTTCATTGGCTGAGTAACGCCCCATCTAACTATCTATCTATATACTTACCTATCTATCTATCTATTAATCAATAAATGTATCTATCTATTGACCTATCAATCAATCAATCTATCTATCTATCAGTCAGTCTACCAATCTATCTTATCTATCTACCTAGTCTACCAATACTAGCTATCTATCTATCATATCTATCAAATTTGATCTATGTATCTGTCTACCTATCTACGTATCTATCTATCTATCTATCTGAATCTCGCTATCTATCTACCCATCAGTCTATCTACCTACCTACTAATCTATCTTTCCATTTACCTGTCTATCAATACAGCTATCTATTTACATATCTAAATTTGAATCTATGTATCTGTCTACCAATCAGTTTATTAACTTATCTGCATCCGTATTTCTCTGTCTATCAATTTATACATTTAGCTATCGAAAACCCTTTCTTTATCTATCTATCTATTTATCAGTCTTAGTCTGTAACTATCAACTGTCTATCAATCTATTTAATGTATGTCTGTATTATTCCATCTATCACCGATCTATCTATTTGTCTATCAATCTATCTAGCTATCTTATATATCTTTCGATCCATTTACCTAGCTATATATGTATCTATCTGACTATCTATCTCTATCTAATTATCTATTCTCGTATCTATTTATATATCGTGTAACGAGTTACCTATCTAAATCTATATCATGCTATTTCTCTATTCACCTATCTAAATTGTTATCTATCTATTTAACAATAAACTTATCTATTTCAATATCTCCCCTACTCCCCCTCTCTCCTCTCTCTCTCTCTCTCTCTCTCTCTCTCTCTCTCTCTCTCTCTCTCTCTCTCTCTCTCTCTCTCTCTCTCTCTCTCTCCACTTAGCATGGTTTGATTGGTTCAGTTACGGGCTTACACCAATTTATCTCTCTGGCCAATCCTTCCTCTTCTATAGATTAAGTGCCTCTCTCTCTCTCTCTCTCTCTCTCTCTCTCTCTCTCTCTCTCTCTCTCTCTCTCTCTCTCTCTCTCTCTCTCTCTCTCTCTCTCTCTCTCTCTCTCTGTAAATTAATCTAAAATGCATCGATATGAAAGAAAAACTGATGACTTGAGTCAAGCATAAATATAAGTATTAAAAAGCAGTAACTTGAAACATCCATGAAAAAAAAAATATATATATTTAACAATGTTAACCAAAATTATACAGAAGTTAAAGAAATAAAATTATTTAGCTGAAACAAGAGGAATCAAATATTAAAAAAAATAATTTAAAATTATCAGATTGCTTGACTGTTTGTTTGTTTGTTAGGTAATAATAATGACCTGATGAAAAAAAAATAACTTATAGGAAAATAATCTTAACATAACCAAATATCTAATGAAATAAAAATAAAAATATTTCTTCAAAGTCGTCAGAAAATTAATAATTCTAAATACAGACAATTACCTAAAAAAAAAAAAAACAATAATACTACATATAATTCAAAGCGATCAAGCAATCTAGAAAAAAAAGCAAACATAATAGATGCAGTGACCCCAAAGGTTAAAACTATATACCTGAAGCAACCAGAAACAATACAATAATAATAATAATAATAATAATAATAATAATAATAATAATAATATAATAATAATAATAATAATAATAATAATAATAATAATAATAATAAAAATGGTGATCTAAGCGCAAAATAAAAAAACTGCATAAAACTAGTTATTCACAGAATAGAAACCACGAGTGCCCTTTCCTTGTAAAAAAACACACACACACACACACACACACAACTCAATTAGCATAAGAAAAACACGAGACTAAACACGATTTAGAGCAAAAACACATGAACTAATTACATTAATAACATGTAATGAATACCAGGGACCAGTACACGTCCCGCAAATAGATGTAATTAATACAAGTAATGTTATTGATTCTACATCACGGATAAGGGCTACGACGGTGCCTTCTTGCGAGGGACTTAGGTTTTGACACGTGCAACCGATATTCTGAGTGAATGCCCTTTTTAACCTCAGACCGAGGCGGGCCTCGAACCCACGCCCTAGCGAATCAAAGTCGCGTGCGCTACCACTCGGCTACGGCTGTCACAGATGTCATTAACACAAGTAATACAACAATATCTAATAAGGAACCGCAATAGCGCAGTGGTTACAGCACTCGCCAGAGAAGGTAACAAACCCATATTAAAGTCAATGACGGAGCTTTTGGAAGGAAATCTAGCCTCATTCCCCAGTTCCAACCAGTCTGCGTACACCCCCATACTAGGGATTAATAGTGATACATAAAACGGTAAATTATTATTGCACTAATAAGTAATGGTAATTTTCCCATTAAACCTATAACTGGGATCATGAATACAATTACAAAGAATGTGGTCGAGTCAAAGCAAAATCTTGACTCTCTGCAGGAGAAAAATACAAAGGAGAGGAATCCCAATCCCAACGCACCATTCCCATTAGTCGGCTTTTACGACACGCAGGGGAACACGGCGGTGATATTCTTATGCCCTTTGCCAGGGGAAGAAAAAGAAGATGCTGAGTAAAGAATATATTGAAAATGGGCTATGGGATGCAGAGGCCACTCAGCTTCTTACTTAGAGTTATTAAGAATAAGTGTAATATATATTTATTGGTGCAAGTGCTCATGAGAGCTGGATACTTGATAAACCGACATTGCCTCATCTCTGCCTTGTCCTTAACCTTTTTCTTTTCCTTTGTCTTGGTATTTTCTCGTGCCCGGGCCTTTATTGATGAGGGCAGTTTCTGCCTGTCCCGGTGTCACACTCATAAAAAAAAAGATTAGGATATCAGTATAGAACCAATGGGAAGTAGCTTCTGGGAGGTATGGGAATTGCTGTTAAAATTATGACTATTAAACATTAAGAAGGATATATGGAAATCATCATCATCATCATCATCATCATCATAATAATAATAATAATAATAATAATAATAATAATAATAATAATAATAATAATAATAATAATAACAACAATAAAACGTATGACAAATCATACTAAAATCTCTAATATTCGTGATCATTATGAAGGGTACGAGAGGAACTCTAGTCACGTGACCCGCTGACGTCAGCAAGCCCCGCCCTCTTTACCCACCCTCCCAAAGAACCCATCCGCTGCGTGGGAGGTTCAACATGAAGCAAACTTAATTAAATTCATTACCAACACGTCCCGGCAATATGCGGTGAATAATATTGTAATATTTTCGTTTTTATTAAGTGCGAATGAAATATGGAGCTGTGTTGACTAACATATGTCACCGAGCCATTAACACTTAAATTATCCAAAGCCGTTCTGTTATAAATAATTATATTAATAATGGTATTATTATTATTATTATTATTATTATTATTATTACTTATTATTACTATTATTATTATTATTACTACTGCTACTACTACTACTACTACTAATAATAATAATAATAATAATAATAATAATAATAACAGCTGTATTATTATTATTATTATTATTATTATTATTATTATTCTAATTAGTAGTAGTAGTAGTAGTAGTAATAGTAGTAGTAATAGTAGTAGTAGTATAAATGTTATTATCTTTATTACCATTAACAATAACAATAATAGTAATAATATTAATAAAAATATTATAATCATTATTCTTATTATTATTAGTATTATAATCACAATCTTTCTGATTATTATCACTATGCAAAATCTTAAAACAAAGGGCCACAAACCAGCTAATAAAAAAAAATAATGCATTTTAAAGTATAATCTTAAAGAAAATAAAAATATAAAAAACCTTTATAACCTATGCTGTATTTAAGGCTCCAAAACTGAATTATGAATATATAATGTTCATTATGTAATTACAATAATTATACAATATGAAATTAACAATAATTACCCAGTTCCAACCTGCCTGTGTCCACCCCCATTCGAGTGGGGAGTAAAAGTGGCATATAATACGACAAATTATAATATTCAATATATAATTACAATAATTACATAATAATTATGTCACTGGAAAGAAATGAGAATTATATTAGTATAAGGAAGAGCATTCTATGTAGTAATGACCGGCAACTGCAATAGCTTGCAAGATCTTGGTGCCCGGGCCCGATGAGGGCAATATTATTTGCCCGTCCCGTTGTTAAACTCAAAAACTATATATTCACTTAAATTCGTTAACAAGTGTAATCAAGTGGAAGATAAAACATTAAAGAATAAAGTGTCATTGAAATACTTAGCCAGAATCAACCACTTAAACAACAGATAGCACAAGGAATAAAGTGTAAGAGAAACATTAACAAATGACCAGTCACTTGAAATCTTTAAAGGACAAAACAGAAATTAACCACTTAAGACTGCTGTCAAGTGTACTCCAGGTAAAAATAATACATTAATAAATGAAATGTCACTTGAAAAAAACTGACTGAATTATTAATAAAACAAAAAACAAAAAATTGACCACTTAAAACTGCCAGCAAGAGTAATAAAGTTGAAGAGAATACCTTTTACTTGAAATTACATAAGGATTAACCAGAAATAAACCACTTAAAACTGGCTACTTGAGTTATTTACCTTTATGATCATAAATATCTAGCACCACTTAAAACTAACTTCAACTATAATAAAATATAAGATGAAATATTAACAAATAAAGTGTCATTCCATGAGTTTTTAGGAATTAACCAGAAATTCACCACTTGCTGCTGTCAACAAGTGTATTCAAGCTAAAGAAAACACACTTAAAACTTCCCCTTCAGGGAGCACCTCTTAAAGAGTTAACGAGAAATGAACCACTTAATACTACTAGAGAGTGTAATCAAGTGAAAGTAAATGAATAACTAAATGTCCCTTCATTAAAATCCAATCAATATTTAACAAGACACTTACCAATCAAGTGCCAGCAAGTGTAAACAAGCTGAGACGAATACAGAAACAAGTTGTCGTATGACTTCTGTCATGCTGAAGCCAGCCCGTCATGCTGAAGCCAGAATCTGAAACTTGTAACACATCTTGAGGGGTAACGGTTAGTCGAGGCCACGGATATTCTATTACATGCCCTCACTTTTATTGAGTTTTTGTGCCGCCCATGTGTTCCCTTGGGACCACCAAGAGTTGTGGCTAGGCACCTGGAACTAACCGCTGGCGCCATGCACCCCCCCCCAAGAGGCCTACAGGATAAGGGACCCTCGGTCCTCGAAAACACCACAAGTCGTGAAGAGAAACATGTGAGGCTAGGGTGAAATAGAATACTCTCCCCAATTGTTTTCTGCGGTGCGGCCGGTGTTTGTAGAGGGCGTCAAGGAGATATGTGACCGGACCCCTGAGGCTTGGCATTCGACATGGAGTACCTGAGGAGGGTGGGAAAGGCCGAGAGTTAGCCCTTTCCTAAACCGCACGAAACATCAACTTATGTTTCGTACGCAGGTACACGCCCAGGAGAGATGCCCAATAACTCCTCCTCGGAAGTAGGCGGGATTCCACTTTGAACCTGGCGCTGATTAGCTGGACTAGATCTGACTGATTTCATTGGAGAATTGGATGTTAAGCCACGCCCTGCCCCTGGGGGTATTTCAAGAGCCACCCGGGGCAGAGACAGTTAGTTAGAACTTTGCCAGGGGCACGAATAGATCATAGATTGTGATAGTCATAGGGTGGGGGCATTGGGGCATTGAGGCGTCGGATGTGTTGTACTCTAGAATAAATATAAGTAAAGGAACTACTGCTTGTCCATTCTTACCTTGTACCCATCAGGTACTAATATTTATAACCTAATAAACCACGCTACCATAATTATAAGTTTATATACGTAGGAGGAAAAGCCCTGCGTCAGTGGTGTCATTAGATGGGATAAACAAAACCAATACGTCAGTGGTGACGCTCGGTGAGATAATAATAAAAGTACCACGTCAGTGGTGGCAGCGGTGGGATCTTCACGAAAAAAAAAAAAAAAAAAAAAAAAAAAAAAAAAAAAAAAAAAAAAAAAAAACACACACACACACACACACACACACACACACACACACATACGAAGAGACAGGTGAATGCCAGTGCAGACCCGCGCAGAGAAAATAAGAATGGCAAAAGCAGAAATCCAACATCTCCCAATTCAAGAAATGAGTGACGAGGCCAAACACCGGAGAATTCTCGAACTGGAGGAGCAAGTGCGGCGCCTACAAGCACGCGCCGACGCCGCTCCGTCGAGAAGGAACTTGGCCGACGCCGACAGTGAAACCGACGCCTCAAACATCGACGAACAGCCGGCCGCTCCGAACCCCGTGGTGACACAGGGAACGCAGCAGGCCCAGCCCCCACCCTGTGCCCTGGTTGTAAAGACGCCTCGAGTCAAAAATTTACTTTTATACCTCGACGGCGCAAATGTAAAAGACCATGAATGTCCGTCCATAATTCCCGCGACCGACTTCCTGAAATACTTGGGTCTGCGGATGAGAAGTGACGAGTGCTCAAATAGAGAATATTATAAAACTTTGAAGGAACTATTTCTAAGATATTTCTTAGTAAGCCAAAGTGTGACCGGAGCATTGAGTGAAAATGCCCATTACAAGAGGTATAAGTTGCCGGATCCGACCAAGAAGACGGCGATTCGTCGATTTTACTCGAAGAGAAGAAGGAGAACCCTCTCCTTCCTTGCCTTCTGCCATGAAGTTCTCCAGGACCACCTCCTTAAAATAAGCTAAGTACTTGTGATCTGTATCCAGTGAGTAATGGGACAATTAGTAAAAGAAATTGAGGTCGGTGGACGCCGCCATTTTATCTTGTAGTTATGCTTTGACTCAGCCAACCCGCTTATAAGGGGTGTGGCGCTTAATAAGTTGATAAAAGTAGAATTTCTGTACCCATTACTAACATGGATAATTTGTACTAATAGCTATAAGCAGTAATAAACTCCGTTTTTGTTATAATTTGAGTAATATAAAGAACTTGCGTTGGAAGTGCGTTCCATTTATTTGTATTAATGCCTAGATTGAATTTTAAGAACGCGAATGTATCGATTTTTTAATTGACAAATTTAATGCACATGAAATCACTATTACAGTCTATTAATTTCTAAAGCGTAAGAATTATAGTGAGAAATAT